ACATCTGGCATATTCTAGACATGGGTCTGCTTTCAGATTATGATTGTAAATATTCTCTTTCTGTGGTTTATGTGTTCTCTCTCTTAATGATGTATTTTGAAAGTAGAACTTTGTATTTTTGATATGGCCTCAGTTTATCATTTTCTTATCTTCTATAGATTGTGCTGTTAGTATTGTGTCATGCTAACCCAAGGTTATAAATACTTTTCTCCTGATTTCCCTACAGCTCTAGAGTTTCAGATATTACACTTGAATCTATCAGTATTTGGTATATAGTGTGGGTAGAGTTTGGAATTTAGTGTATGGGTTGCTGTTGTTGAATGCTCACTAAATTCTTACTGATCAGTGTGAAAGGATGGGGAGATGACAGAAATTTTAAGATGTGAGGCCCAGTATGGGCCTTGCATGGAATCATGGGATTCCTCCTTTCCTCTTATTTTGCTTTGAGTAGTTCTCAGGTGAATAGATTTCCTTTAGTATGTGCTCTTGCTGGGATATGCAGTGATTCCCTAAGCCCTGAAGCTAGGGGACTAACCTGACTCCATAGAAGTGGATATAGTAAGTCTGCTAGGGCTACTGTGACAAAGTTCCACAGATTTGGTGGCTTACAGAAGTCCATTTCCTCACAGTTGAGGAAAGCTTCAAGACACAGGTATGGCAAGTTCGGTTCCTCTAGAGATCTTTCTTTTTGGCTTTTAGATGACACCTTCTTTAGATGTGGGTTTTCATCTGTATATACTTATATCTGTGTTTTAATTTTCCCTCTTTGTAACAATGACACATTGTGTTAGCATCTATCCTTATAGCTTCATTTTCATTAACTATCCTTTAAAGAACCTATCTATTTCCAAATATATTTTGAGGTACTGAGGTTTAAGTTTTATTTAATATATGAATATTGGAGACAAAATGTAACCTACAACAGGCAACATGATCAGTATCTAACAGAAAAGTCAGTAGTTTGATGCATACAAGTTCTAGACATGGGAAATAATACTAGCAAAGGCAGTGGAGAAGGAAATTAGACCACTTTGTACAGCTGTGTAATAGGTGACAGAATAATTGAGCCAATCAATAGGGCTTTGTGGGTCTAAATTTGATCTTCAAACTAGTTATTATCAATCATTTGATAGAATCACTTGGGACTTAGAAAGAAAAGCAAAAACAAAGCAATAATACCCTAATCTTACTCCAGAAATATTCAAATTTGGGTTTGCTTGGATGCTGTTTTCATAATGCCTGTCTAGGTGATTCTCACATACCACCTATACGATAAGATTTGTGTTAAAGAAAATTGCTCAGACTACTGTGAACAGAATAGGCTGGAAGAGCCTAGTGGGCAGAGATCAGCTTGCAGTGCTCACTCTGAGACACAGAGGAATTTGTACAACCCACTGGTGAGAATGCAGGGGGACAATATGAGATGTTCCTTCAGCAAGAAAACTGGCAACTCAATGAGGAAAATAAGAAAGTAGTTTGTCTGTGAAGAGTCTTGTATCTTTGGCATGATTTATTATATAGAACACAGGTTATTAATAACAAAAATACAAGGGTCAGTGATATGGCTTAGTGGATAGAGGGCTTGCTGCTGCATCAAACCATCTGAGTTCAATCCCCCAAATCCACATGATGGTGGTAGAGAATCAACTCCTATAAGTTGTCCTCTGAACTCCACAGAGGACTATGCATAGCATTGTGAGTGTGATGTACCAACAGATAAACACATGGACACATGTGAATAAAAAAACAAATCTAACAAACTTTTAATAATGCAAGATGGATGTAAGACTTGAAAGAAGTAATAGGTTCAATTTTGGATTTTTTGGGTTTTAAATTTTTGTGAGGAAGCAGGGAGAACACTGGTTTGTAAAATCTTGAGCTCAGGGGAGAAATCTGTACTGCAGACATTTGGAGGTCATTCATGTGTGAATAATTTACAAGCCCACAGAAGCAATGGGACAGCCATGGAGAAAATGAGCTGAAGACAGTCTCATGAGAGTACAAACACATAAACATGGGTGGGAAGATGATATCAGAGAGACAATGGAAGAATACAACAAAGAACTTGAGGAACAGGGATGTCAAGAGAGGGGAAAGCCACAGGAAGATCAAGAAATACTGGCTGATGAGAACTCTTTGGATTTGTTAACCCACACAGAGTTGGGAGCTGGGACATTTCCAACATAGTTCTAGAGAATCAATGGATCTAGATCCCAGTTGCAGGTTTGAGTGAATGTGCTGTGTGTAGATTCTGTTGTGTGTAAAATATTCTAAACCAGGAGGACAGCCCCATGTTAGAAAGGAGGCCACTGACACCATAAGGTCTTGAGGCAGAAGGGAAGAGGTAATGAGAGCAGAACACTGAGGAAGCCAACAGAGCAGAAGGTTTTGACTCGAGTTCAGTGTAGTGAAGTTTAAGATTTCAGAGTTAGAACGAGGCTCAAGCAACAATAAGATACAAGAATGTATTCTAGACAATGAGCTATAGAGTGAAAGAAACCTGTCAGTTCTGAAGTTAAGTCATTGTTATACACATAGTCCTTTTGACAATAGGAAAATTTAAGAACAAGGGGAAGACTGACAACCAGATGCTTGAGGAGTAGTTAAAAAAGATATAGATGACATCATTGGTTAGGGGACAGATGCAAGACACCTAGGATACTGAATGCACCTAATCTAACCAAAGATGAAGGCGGATGAATGAAGGTTCTTGGTGGTAAAGAAAGCATCTTGTGTCTGTATGGATGTGGCACCTCTCAGTAATACATCTGATAGCCTATTTATATTGATAGTAATAAATTTCATAGCTTAGGCAGGAAATAGGAAGTAGAACATCCTGTAGGCAGAAAGGATTCTGGGATAGTGGGCAGGTCCAGGAGACTCATCCAGGAAGATGTGATGAGACAGATGCATGGTATCTGAACACAGGTCACCAGCCACATGGCAGAATGTAGATTAAAATAAATGGGTTATTTTAAGTTATTATCTAGTCAAAGAAGTGCTTAGTTATCTGACCAAAGTATTTGTAAGTATATTTTGAGTCTGAGTCTTATTTTTGGGAGCATAAAGGATGGGAGAAAGAAAGGACTAACTTCTACATTTGATGTCTGGGATGATAATAAACTTGACTGAGCTTTCAAGGTAACATGTGAGCAATTGGGTGTTGTGTATATGTGCAATTCTACTCACAGTTACAAAAAAGAGTGTGTGTATATGTGTGTATATGTGTGTGTGTGAGAGAGAGAGGGAGGGAGGGAGGGAAGGAGGAAGGGAGAGGGGGAGGGGAAGGGGGAGAGGGAGAGGATGAAAGTAGAAAGAAAAATCAGCATATGTAGGGGCTTGTAGGGTATAGTATGGTAGAATTTATTTCATCAGGCACCATAGCAGACTGATGTGTTTTGAAAGTGTCCCTACCATCTCTGTCATCAAAATCCAAGTGTTTAAAACTTAATCATCAAATTTGTATGTCAATAGTTCTTAGAGTTGGACCTTCAGGAAATAATTAAGATTAGATGAAAATGTAAGTTTCCAATGATGGCATCCTTAGCTTTATAATAAGAGGCTAGGACAAGGGGCTTGAGATAGCACACCTGCTCTGTCTTGCCGAGGGATGGCCTCTATCTGGCTATGATTCAGCCAGAACCTCACCCAATGCTGAGAGGATGCTGGTATCTTAGAACCAGAAACAAATTTATATATTTGCTAGCCTCAAGTATTTTCCTACAAACCAGGCAACTGAGTAATATAGGCAGATCGTAGAGTTTAATCAGGAAGGTACCATTGTAAGGTCTGAATTTTAGATATCTCCCAGGAACTTGTGCAGGATATATTGTGAGGAACCAAATGATGGAGACCAATTTTGGAAATGAGTTGCATAAATCCAGTTCTGGAGTAGAATAGCAGTGGTGCTAGAGAAGAAGCCATAGACATAATAGACAACTAGAATCAATTCTGTTGTAAAGACTTAAGACTTAGAATTTGAGAACAAAACCAAAGCCCAGTAGGCTCCTGAAAGAAGAAACTATAGACAATCAACAAGAGAAGAGTAAAGAAAGAAAGGAGGGGAGGAAGACATTTTATTCCTAAGAATCACATGATCTAACAATCTTAATTTGATGCTGTAGATCCAACAAAAATACATGTGAATGATATAGAGTGGTATATAATATCTTTAAAAGATTTTGCCTGCCATACCTCTTCCAACTATCTTGTCTATTTAAAATAACATACCCATTGACCAGCAAATATTAATTGCTAATTTATCATTGCCATTATGACTCGTGTGACTGTGGTCTCTTGTGAAGATTAGTGGCATGGAAGTAGGAACAACAGGAAGGTCAAAGTGGGTTTACATGGCTTTAAAAAAAAACTTTGTATTTGTTTTGGGAAATTTCACATCATGCACCCCAATTCCACCCATCTCCCCCTCTGCTCATACCTGACATTCACCCTTGCAACTTCCCCTCAACAAAGAAAAAAATCTTTGTGGAAGCTGCAGTGTGCCACAGTGTGTCCTACAGTATCCCCCTTTGTCCACTTCTAGGCTTGCAATTGTTCATTGCAGTGACTCATTGGTCTGGTACAAGGCCTCTTCACTACCCTCAAGTCTTCAGGTCTTTCCCTCTTCATTGTGCCACATCTTTCTGTTTCTTTCTCTTCCATTTCTTCACCACTTATTTGCTCCTCTAGGTGGTTGGTGATGGGTCTCTCTGAGAGTCTGGGGGTCATCTCAAGAAAATAGTCTCAGGAATACTATGCCCTGCTTGGGCACTATGGCGACAGACAGGGGCCGTCTTCTCTGTCCATTGAAGCCTGCACTGTGTCCCACTGTTGGTCATCTCAGGCTAGCTCCTTGTCCAGACCCTGTGGCACCAGTCTGGTAGTCATCATGGGTGAGCTGTCGGGGCCTACATGACACTGGACTTGTGGTAGTCTCAAGTTAGTTTTGTTTGTTTGTTGTTTTTCTGGTTTTTTTGTTTGTTTTTTGGTTTTTTTTAGAGAGTGTTAGGGTACTAATCATTCAGATGTTCATAAGTCAGGACACTGAGCGTAGACATAGCCTTTTTCCTCTCTGCCACCTCCTGATGCACATGTGACACAGTGGCCATATCTACAATGCTTCTAGGGGCAGGTTACATGTTTTGTTTTTGCTTTTGTTTTGTTTTGTTTGTTTGTTTGTTTGTTTTTTTAAAAGCATAGCATACTAAAGAGCAGCAAAAAAGCAAATCCTACCCAGCCACAGAAAGCCAAACAGGATGGACCACATTGACCACACACACTGACAAGTCCAGTGTGGGAGTGACTCCAACACAGGGCAGGCTTGAGAGCAGTTTCTACAATGAATGGCTCATGGATTTTCTATAGTCTTCCTATATCACATATAGAAATATATCTTTGAAGAAATATGATTAGAATCTGCAAATAACTCACAGGAGACTACAATCTGAAATGGGGTCTTCTTTCAGGCTTGCAGATGTTCTGACTCAGAAATGAAATTAAACTTGAGCAACATATCTGTGTGAAACAATTCCTTCCCATGCTGTAGCCCCTCACATGCAATGAAACTATGAAGGGTCATTTCTTCTCCCAGGGAAATCTAAACACCATTCCTAGATCTTTTTCTGAAAGTATGAATACAGAATATCTCATGAAATGAGATTTACGGGGCATTTTCCCACTGAGCTCAGAGGAGCAGGTAGTATGAAAAACATCACTCAGGAGACTCCTGAGTGAGGCTGGAAGTTAAGGCAGAGGGATAGAAAAGGCAATTGTTACCATTAAAAGTGTTTTAAAAAAATACTCCATCCTTTTTAACTCCTCAGTATTTGTGATCCAGTACATGTGTCATAGTATTTTTGACCACAAAAAAGTGGCTGGACCTTACCCACTGTATATGATGGGTACCACAGACATGGCTAGTGAAAATAGCCTGGTACAATACGTACCCTATAATTGGTCTTAAATCAAGTTCAAGTTCAAGAAAAGCTAATCTGTGGAAACTGTGATTACCAAGGGATTTCTCCAGGTAAGGGTGAGAGGTGGGGCAGGGGAGGCAACAGGGAAGTTTGACACGATGATGAGAATGTTCTATATCTTCCTAGGAATTATTCTATCATGAGTCAATAAGATTGTTTGGATATATTCAAAGTAGAAGTAAATTCTGTGCATTTCATTATGTGTGGATTATGCTTGTCTTAAGCAAATTAATTCTCATGAAAAGTCTTAACAAAATTCTAATTATGCTTATCCCTTGACAATGTATAGAACGTTTTGTGTCTCAGCATGCTAAAAATTTTAAAGTTATCATGTATAAACATGACTTCTGAAATGCTATTTTCTCACCCCTAGAGTTTCATTTAAAAAAAAAAAAAACTACTGGCAAATAGAATGTTTGCAGCATTCTATCCACTTACTAACATTGCCATCCTGTACATATAGAAAGTGAGAAAATGTATATTGAAGTGGAAACTTAAGGGTTTTTTGGAAAGTCGATTGGATGGTGATTTGCTGGAGCAAACACGTGAAGGAATGTTTAGCTGACGTAAAAAGTGAAAAACCAAGGCAGACTCATGAAGGAACTTTTGGCTGAAGCAGACACAGGAAAGAGGACGTTCTGCTAAAGCAAGCGCGTGAAAGGACATGTGATGAAGGACTCTTCGCTAACAACACTTACGTATTGGTCCACCTTACATTGTGTAGTTGAGCTGCATTTGTCGGGACTCCATAGAGAGGAACACACCAAAATACTTCTGGTGGTGTGGTGCAGTTTCTTGCCTGCTTGTTACCTCCTAACTGACCAAAGGAAAACAGCTCATGTTGTTTGCTGCAGGCCTCTAACTGACATACCTCATATGTCCCTCTTGGACCTACAATCCTTAGACCAGTGTCTATCTTTTTCCACAACAGCTACAATGAGCTCTGAATCTTTTAATCTTACAATTTCTTTGGAATTGATAAAATTCACCACAATTAAAACATTGAGCATTTTGATTCCTGATATTTCTAGCTATGATTTGCCCTATGGTATTGGTATTGTACTCCTGAGAACCAATATCAGTTGTTTCCCTCATCCACTCATCTATAGGGGCTCCACATGCTTTCAATGGTCTAATTGTTCTCTTGCATTCAGTGTTTGCATTCTCAAAAGTCAAGATTTCTATCAATGACTGTCTGGTTTCAGGGTCTTTTATGGCTCTATCCACAGCTGAACTCAACCTCTGTAAGAGTTCTGTAAAAGCATCTCCAGAACCCTGTATTATTTTAGTAAATGAGGTAGATTTTTCCCCCAGGTTCTTCAACCAAATCCCAAGCTCTCTTAAAGCGGCAACAGAACTTTGTACAATTACACCATCATCTGATTGGATTTGTTCTTGTAAGTTAGCATAACACCCCTCACTAAGCAGCTGGTCTTTAGTAACATTTATTCCCCTTGCTACATTATGTTGTGCTAGTTTGGGGTCTTCATGTCTCCACCATAGCAACCATGGTAATTATTGACCAGCTTCTAATACACCTGACACCAATCTCTTGTCTACACCATAGCAACCATGGTAATTACTGACCAGCTTCTAATACACCTGACACCAATCTCTTGCAATCTTGTGGGATAACTCTTTGCTATATAGCCCAGTTATCTAGCATTTATTTGACAAAGGAAGAATGTAAGCCGTACGTTATTATTGACGCTTTAAAATGCTTTAAATCTGCCATTCATACTGGTCGCCAGGTTAATTCATTATAAGCTTGTCTGTCATTGTTAGCAGGCCTATGCTGCACAAAGACTGGGAAGGCTGAAGGTACCTGTGTAGGCCCAAATACATTCTCTGGTGGTTCACCTGGCTGCACCTTAACCTGTTGGACATGTGCCGTTTCATGCTCTGTCAGGACCCTAGAAGCAGGACTGGGTGGCAGTTTACCTCCTAGCCTAGTTTGCCTCCAATTTTCGTCCTTCATTACATTCTTAGTCTCATTCTCCAAGCCTGAACCTTTTTCTTCTCCCTTTGTGTTTCCCAAGCACTACCACCTCTCTCTGAAAACTCTCTAAGTGCATAGCCATCTCTGCAGTCTTCTCTAACGGAATTGTCAGGCTTCCCATTAAACTTTTTCAAAATAGTATACATGACAACTAGGAAGCAAAATCAAAAAACCCCTTCTGGGAGCAAGGCAGGATAGCACCCAGTGGCAGTAACTGCCATTTTGCCAATCTCCTTAAGCAACATTGCTAATTGCTTACAATGTGCCATTTTCTCTACTTTAGAAGCAGAGTTACCTGTTATTCCTAAGCCATGTTGGGTATTATCTGTAAGTTTAATTTTTTTTCAAACCTTATTTTTAATGATGGTTCTTAAATGCTATAACCTCCCTTGCAGCTCACCACCCACCAGAGGTAATGGAAAAGACAGGATATGGGGGGAGGGGGAGACTGCAGGGGAGTGGTGAACCTGTTTAGGAAGGTTCTTCGGAGCAACTCCCATCTGTGTTGTCTGAAAATTGTCAGTTCAGTTCACAGGTTAGCAGGCAGCACAATCTACTGCTTGCAAACACTTCATGAATGCACCAGCAGTCCAGTTCGGTAAAGTCAGGATAACAAACACAAATCAGCATCAGTGGCACTACCTAACAGAGACAGCCAGGCCTCAGCCTTGACTCGAGACACCAGGAAGAACCAGGAGAAGTTCTCAGCTGTGCCTCTCTCAGGGAAGCAAAAATCAGCAAACACAAAAGACCTAGACGTGTTGCACAGCTGGCTCTATAAGCAAGCCTGGCTCAGCCCCTGACAGTCTGCAGAGTCTTTTTTACACTCTCGCCAAACATCACGTCCTTCATGTGTCTTGTCTCAACATATCTTGCCTCTGCAATATGCCTTGAACTAATATTATCACTGTAGCTACTATCAGAAAGGTGTGTGTGTGTGTGTTCATTTGGAGGTTGGAGGAGGTTAATGCCAGGCGTATTGGTCAATTACTCCTCACAATTACTGTATGTATAGAGAGAGGGGAGGGGGATTTCTTATTGGACCTGGAGCCCATCACTTTGGCTAAACTGGCTGGCCAATGAGCTGTAGGTATCTGCTCCTAAATGGAATTGTTAGCATCATTTACAGATGTGCATCTCCCTGCCCAGTTTTACATGGATTCTGGGCATAGAATTCAGGTTTTCACACTCTCAGGTCAAGCAAACACTTAAACAACAAAGCCATCTCCTCACACTTTAACAGCAGAGCCATCTCCTCAGTCCACGTTCCCAGGTTGATAGTGACTTGCGTGTACCATTTTGGAGCCCCAGGTAAGAATCCTTTCAAAGAAACGCAAGGTGGAACCAGGCTCCTTGGCGAGCCATGTTTGCTTAGTATGTTTCTGGCTCCTTATGCCGAGGCACCAGAATCCTCAGTATTTCCAACAGCAGGCTTTTGATCATTTTTTAAATACTCTTATCTTGGACTTTAGCTAAAATAAACACAGTTCATAAATGCATGATGGTAGTTCTCCACACTGGTTAACACCTAAGGGTTTGCTAAAATGCTCATCTGTAAATGACTGTTTATATTAGCCATTAAGTATCTGTAAAAACATGTACACTGCTGCCTGTCTTTCCAAATAAAGACTGACTGTCTTGAGTTGACTCCGGATCAGTAGTGTAAACAGGATGGCATATAAAGTGTGAGACACTGTACAGAGGGCCAAGTGTATACGAAGGTTAACTGATTAATAAAACATGGCTGGCCTTGATTTCGTTTATAAGAAACTTAAGACATTTATCAACATCTGTCTGAAGCCAGTTCCATTCTCTTGGACTGTGCTGTGGATAGCTGATTAATAAAAGATGATGCCTTAGGAAGGAAGCTTAGATCTTTGAAAGCCTTGACAAAGGACAAGGCCAGGCTGAATCTGCATATGAAAGAAAATGGTGAAAGTAAGGGCTCACCCTGGAAGTGGCTACCACTTCCCCACAGCACTTCATCTCCCTGGTATTGGCAAAGTCTGCAGAAGTAAGTAAGAATTTCAAAAATTAAGTGTGGAATTAACTTAAAAGACAGATTGCAAGGTTTGGGTTGTTTTCTTTCTTTTTGTCTTTTTTCTTTTCTTTCTTTCTTTCTTTCTTTTTTTTTTTTAAAGAAACTGAAATATAATGC